CCCTGTCTCAGCTTAAAGCTACCTGTTCAAAGGATCTTCCACTGATGTGCACAGGGGGAAACTCATCCCTAGCCTGGCATGGAAATTCTTCTCCTTTTCTGAGAAAAAGTGAAATCTGAGGTTGTATCTTCCCACCCTGGAGTTGTCACTTTTGAGCGATGGGACAATCTGGTCATCAGCACCACCAAAACCCGAAAACCAGGAAAAATGCATCAGCATGAACTCCAGAAAAAAAAAATGCTACAATAACTTAAAAAAACACTTTTACTATTTTCAAGTTACAAATTTTCAGTACAAGTACCCACACTGCACTTCTGGGGAAGACATGTGGACAAGAAGACAAGCTCCCAAGAGCTTTACATTTCAAAGCAAACAACATTGCTGCTTTAAAAGGTTCTCTTTGTTTTAGTATTAAGATGGTGAAAAGAAAAATCTATAAAAGCCACTTTGTTTCCTCACTAAAAATTGCCAAACACGAAAGCTCATTTTCCATTAAAAAACTTAATTTACAAGAACATATTTACATACAAAGTTACACCAACCAAAGAGTTCACAATCACCTGCAAACTGATTCACTACAAGATCACACAGGAAGAGCTTCATCAGCATCTGAAGGTAGTGACTGTTGCAAACATCCATCGCAGGTCTCTGACACAAAATCCTTTATTGGTGGAAAATAGGAACAACTCCAGAGGCTTCACGTTCATCAGTATCGCCTGTTCATCTTCTTGAACTTCTCATAGTGATAATCATCTGTGGCTTTTTCATTGAGGGGACGTTTGCGATTTGGAGGAGACCCTTCAAAAGAAAGTGAAGACAATTTTATATCCCTGTCCTTTCACAGGAGATATTTCCTGGACTCTGCCACCTCCCTTAGACAGTCCCTCACTAAGTGAGGTTATTGCCTTACACCCTTTGCTATTCCATCAAACCTTTGTCAGAGAGCTCTGGTAACACTTCAGTTGTGACCTTCACCACTCCACCCCTGAGCTGGAGGATGGATGTCTGTCTCTACAGGCATCATCCAGAGTTCAGGTGTGATCTAGAGGTGCAACAGCCAGCTCTGATGGACTGGGATTGCTCCAGTCCCACTACCTCAGGGCACTCAGAGAAAAAGAGGAAAGCAGAGCCAGATTGTTCTCTGTACAAGACCCCTGAAGAGTTGCAGTGTCTCCCTAAGTATGGAACTTATGCACAGGCTCTCTGAAGACCCCTGAAGAGTTTCAGTGTCTCCCTACAACCATTCAGGTGTGGAACTTACTCTCAGGCTCCGGCCTCTCCGTGTCCCCCACCCTCAGCGGGCGCGGCTTTGGCTCCTCCTTGTTCCTTCGCACTGGAGCATTCAGCTCCTCATGATAAACTGCAAGAAAGAAAACATCAGTTAAATAATATTATCTGGAGCACTCTTATCCACAAGGATACATTTCTATGGCCTGTGTTGTAAGTCATCTTTACCAGAAAGAACAGAAACTCAGAACCACCCTTCTTGGAATTGGTTTCTATGGTTAACTTGGCAAGATGGGGCAGAGCAAATTTCAACAGCACTATTTCAAGTGGCCCAAACAATCTTTGCTTCCATCGGAACACACCAACCTGATTCCCATCACCCCTGTAAGCATGGAAGGACACAGCAAGCTGCCTTTCCTTTAGGTGTCTGCAGGACCAGTGCATCACACAGAAATTAATTCCCATCTCCTGTCCAATAAGGTCTGTGTTTGCTTGGCCACCCTGTCTGCTCTGGCAGCCTGCAAAACTGCAGTCTCTCCATCACACACCAGCATTTCCAGCACACAAGGCACAGCTTAAAGAAAACATCTTGAAATTTATGAGGCAGTGTCAGCTGGGAGCTCAGAAAGCCCAGTCGTGAGAAATACATCCCTCTCCTTGCTGATGAGCAAAACGAAAAAACCAGGGCAGATAGGGTCTGAGTATCTCAGGAAAAGCAATCCTGACACACTGATACATTGATACATAATTTCTCTGTCACAACTGGGTCAGGAGGGACACTCAAGACTTACATCTGTTGTGCTGGACATAATTAACAGCCATGTTGGTGGGAACAAAGGAAGTTTCACTGTCTTTCTTTTTGTTCTGCTGCTCTGCCAGCAGCTTGGCCTTGGCCTCTTCAGTTGAGATGATGTTTTTTATTTTTGCACTAGAAGAAAAAAACCCAACAAACTCATAGTTAGAAAGGGTAGCAGGCCCAGAAGTGCTATGTGCATGGAATTTGAGGACAGCAATAGCACTGCTGTGGCTCTGATGCAGTTTTTGAGAGAGTGCCACAGAAACAGACACTTTGTTTCAAAGGCAAAATGGAAGCTCCTATCTTGGTGCATCGCTTCAGAGCAGTGCTGGGCTCAGGTCACAGAAGAGCCTTTTCCCAGAAGTCCCAGGATGGAGCTGCACAGAGCCCTGGGGCTGTGCAGGATCCATCCAGAACAAGGCTCCATCCCACCCACCCCAAACTGGGGATGTGCAATCCAGGCACAGTGCTGCTCTGCCAGCCAACAGCTGCTGATCCTGGCAGCCCTGCCAGCAGCCACAGATGTGTGACACACTTACTCAATCCCCAGGTCCACTTCAGGAATGCCACTCAGCATCTGGTTGGACAACATCTCCTCAGTCTTCTTGGCAGAGGAGACACGGATGTTCTCTGGCAGCTCGTACAGGGAGTCCTCAGCATTCTTCAGCTTCACCTTCTGCTCCTCGTTCTCCACAATTCCCTTTCTCTTCTTCAGCTCAGTCTCAATGTACTTCATCCTAAACAGCAGCACACAAGAGAGAGGGCATTTAATTCTGTTCCTGTACTCTGCTCCAGCACTGCTGCATCCCTGTCCTGACAGCTGGGAGAGAGGAAAGAATCGTCTCTCCAAAAGCTCTCAGCTAATATTAGCAGCAAGAATTAATTGTTCAAGAAATGATCAGATCTTCCTTAAATAATCAGACCTCCTTAAGGTCCTTAACAGCCAGCAGGGAAGGATTCCACTGAGATTTAGTGCCAAGCTGGCTGGTTGGCATCTCCTAGCTCTGCCCATGGAAAAGCCTTCTCAACTCCAGGAGGGAGGAAGTGAAAGGGCAAAGGAAACTTGTCCTGGGAAGATGTCCTGGGACTACTCAGAATCCACAACATAAAAAAATAAATGGTGAGGGGCCACCCAGCCTGATTCAGCACCACAGACACAGCACAGCATGACTCACATGTCAGCATCTTCATCCCGTCTGTTGGTTTCTGCTGAGAAGGAAGTTCCCAAGTTCAGATCTTCCTCTTCATTAATCCTAAGTGGAAACCACAATGTTTACAGTTTTTTGGTGGGTTTTTTTTGTTGGCTGTTTGGTTTTTTTGGCAGAAGTGTGTGGTGGGTTTTTTAAAAGTAATTTAACAAGTTAGAGCAAAAGTAACTGGTCAGACTGCATTATATGAAACTTTAAAGTGACACAACCTCTGGTTAATTAATTACCAGTTGCCATTAAATACTCATCCTGGGAGAGATTTTCAGAGCTCACATGCACTCACCTGTCCTTGCCTCTTTCTTTCAGCTTCTTCATGTCCACCATTCCCCCAGATTTTATCTTAAATGGGTCATCCTGTAAAACAAGAAATAACAAAAAGCCCTGAAGCTTCCCTCTAGTTTAATGCTAGTCTTCAAAATCTGGATAAAACCACAGGAAACACTTAGGACTTGAGCTGTGACACCAGTCCTGCCCCAGGTTGCACTCACACAGTGTTCTCACACCATCACATCTGAGCCCCGAGGGGATGGAGCTGTCCAGCACTTACCACAAGTGTGGCTTCTTCTTGCAGCTTCTCTCCCACCAGCAGAGCTACAGCACTGGTTAGGCAGATAAAGAAAGAAGATAAAATTCAGCAGAAGGAAACACAATACTGCATTGCTTTATCCCTCTCTAAGTCTCCCTGTCTTTTCCATCCTTAGGCTTTAACAGAGAAGCTCCTCTGTGATGAACATAATTTTGGCAGTGTCTGACATAATGGTACTGGAAGGAGGCAGATGACAAGAGAGAAATTGGCTGTCACATCACACCCCTGCACAAAACACAATTTCCCCTCCCCAGTGCCACATCCCTTACCTCACCCCATTGGGCCGCTTTCTGAGGCTCTGAACTTCTTTGGCTTCCTCAAGTTTTAACCTAAAGGAAAAAACACATTTCACTTAGTACTTGATGCTTTGGTTTTAATTAGTTCATTTTATTTTCTGCAGTTAACACAGAATTTTCTATTCAATTTTGCCCTAAACCTCTGCACATCAGCATCCACTTTTTGGGTTTCAAGTTAAATAGGTGTTTTCTATTTATTTAAGCAATCCCACGCATTTGAGGTATCAAAAAAATCTAAAAACAAGAGACTTGGTGGATTTGTTCTTTCTGATGCCTTAGAAAGGCAGCACCAAACACTGAAAGGCTTGAAGAAGCCAGTTTGGGAAGGAAGAGCTAAAATACATCCAGGCATGAGTGACTCTGAAGAAAGTTGGTGGTGAATTGAAATCTCAAGAGTTTCTTCCTAAACTGAGAGAAATCCGCCACTTCTGGGGTCACGCAAGGCTGTGACGCACGCTGTGACGTCACGCCACAACACCGCAGTTCAACATAGGACTGTGACGTGACGTCACCGCCTCCAGCCCAGCCGTAGCTGACGATATGTCACGACACGATGTCGTGACACCCGGACACCGTATTGCTGGGCTACAGCAGACCTGGGTTCCGTCCTGCCCCTCGACCGCCGCAGGGCCGGGCGCAATTGCGGTTCCCGCTGGGCCCGGCCCGGTTCCCCGCCGGCGCCCGACCCACCTGACCTCCTCGGCGAGCTGCTCGTCCTCCTCTTCCTCGTCCTCGTCCTCCCTGCGCCGCCGGAAGGATTTCTGGCCCGGCATCGCTGCGGCTGCCGCGCCACAGCCGCCACACGGCCGCGTCCCCGCCGCTGCTGCGCCGCGATGACGCCACAGCCCCGCGACGAGGCCGGGCGGCACCGCCCCTGTGCCCGCACCTCGGCCGGGCAGGAGCCGCCAGCAGGGCCCGGAGCGCTCCGAGCCCTCCCGGACCGGGCCGGGAGCCCTCGTACCACCCCTCTCACCCCGGGCCACGCACTGTCATTTCTGGGAACTCCTCGTGTGTGTAAGTCACGAGGCTCGTTCCGTTTCTCGCAGTCCCGGCAGCGCAGCCGCCGCCGGTGGCCGGTGCCTGTCAGGGAGGCCGTGAGGAGAAGGCGCCGTGGGGAGCGTGGGTCCCACACCCGGTTTGCAGCCCAGCCCTCGGGGCGGGACGCGGCTCCATCACCCGGCTGGGTACTGGCCCAGGCACCGAGCCGCTCTGTTGGGTCCGCGGCCGAACGAGCCGCGGTTCGCCCCTCTAGCACCGGCCCTGGGGCAGAGCCCCGACTGCTCGGGAACCCCTCGGGCTTTGGCCCGACCCCGGGAGCCCACGGGGTCGGTGCCGGTGCCGCCACCGCCTCCCCCGCTCGGTCCCTCCTCGCCCCGCCCCGCCGGGCCCGGCCCCCGCTCCTCCCCCGGCCTGCGCGGCACCCGCCGCTCCTCCGCCGCTTCCCCGCTCCGCTCGGGGCCCGCGGCCCTTCCCGGCGGCCCGGCCTGGGGCGGGGGTGGCAACGCCCCGGGCATCCCGCAGGTGAGCGAGGGCCGCGGGCCGCGGGCCGGGGCGGCGGGGCCGTGCGGGGGGAGGCGGCCGGGCCGCGCCGGGGATGATGCAGCAGCAGCGGCTGCGGGGGCTCCGGCCCCGATCCTGCCGTGCCCCGGCCTGGGGGAGGCCCTGCACCCCCAGGGGCTGCTGCCGGCCCCGGGAGCGGGACCATGCTGCTTTGGGCTGTTTCTGGTCAGCCTCGCTGTGTCCGGCAGCTGTAGCGTCTGTCAGGAGGGGACTCGGATTCTGGGGGTCCGCTGTGTTTGAGGAGTGACATAGCGGGCAGGGGGGGGATTTCCTGCAGGTGGTTTTTGTCTGAGAGCTAAATCTCTAGGTGAGTCATGTTGTGACCTCCCACAATAAATCAGTGTTCGGACCTGCTCTCCTTTGCATGGTGCACAGAAACCTCCTGGTTTTCCCTTACCTGATGCAGCTGCGAGCCAGCAGCACCTGCTTTCAGCTTCTGCCTTGTCACTGGGGCAGTTCCGTAAATATTTCTTTCTTCAGTATCTCAAGTATAAAATGTCTCAGAGCTCAACTGCAGATACTTCTTTCCTTGGTAGATTATGCAAGACCAGACCTGGTAGTTGTTTTGTAGCTGAACAGTGCAAAGATTTCTTTTATTTGTGCAGTTGCTCTGAAGAATGTCAGCCTGCACGGATGTGAAACTCTTGACAGCTGGCTCTAGCTTTGGTACAAAACCACACAGTTGTTTTAAGAAAAAAAAAAACAACCAGTGAAAACCTAGAAACGTGTTCCTGTGGAAGGCAGGCAGAGAGGCTGTGTTTGGCAGCAGCTGAAGACTGAAAGTAGGTTGCAGTTACGGAGGAGCTGTTCTGACATGTTCGTGTACTGTCCTCCCTCAGCGGTGCCTGAGAAAGGCAGGCTGAAGGACTTGTTGTAAGGTGACTTCTTTTCCCATCATACACAGAACATTTTGACAAGCACGGTTCAGCTCTCTGGCAGTGCTTTTATGAAATTCCTGTTTTCCTGAGCAGAATTAGAGCTGTGAGTGCCAGATGTAGCTCTTAGGGCAGAGTCGTGGGAAGGCAGAAGTTGCATATTTCCTTCTGAACAGTCACAAACCTTATTCTGGTCTGTGTGGTCGGGGCTCAGAGGCAAAAATGAGGTTTTCCCTGCATTGTTCAGAAAGGGAAGCACTGTGTGGGAAGATCAGCACCCCAGTGCTGGAGAGACTAAAGACCTGGTTTTGATTTTGAGGAGAGGAGTGGTCCCACAGAATGCACTGAAACCATCTAAATCCAAAAGACTCTGCTTAACAAAGTGCTTCAAAACCAGTTCCCAGTTAGTTTAAGCTGGTGAAGATATGAGGTCTGAAATTCATTTTAAAACAGTATTTTGTTCATTAAATTTTCTGGGGAACATCTGGGAGAGAGATAAGAAATCAAGGATGCTGAAATAGCAAATGTAGCATTGATTTTTCTTTTTTAATTGGACTAGCTGATGCATTTGGGGAAAGGGGTCTGTTCTGGTGAAGGAACTCAGAGCCTGAAATGTCCCAGTTTTATGTGTTAGTCAAAGCTGCTGTGCTCTCGTTATTTGTATTTTCAATCAATATCTGTTACACGGTGCTGCGTTCCTTCTCTGTGAAACTGCATGAAATTGCTCTGTTGTTTGTTAAGCTTTTCTTCAGGAGTTACTGAGATCCAGGTCAGCACCCCTGTGGTGTTTTCTACCATACACTTATGATTTCTTCTCCCTTTGCTCCTCCCATCAATTTACTGAGTTCTAAAGAGTGCTGGGGAAACAGAGTAAAATTAGCCTTGAGGTTTATCTTCTGCCAAGACAAGGTGCTAGGCAAGCTTTCCACTCCCAAGATAAGTGTTACTGATATGGCCTACTCATTTATAATCTTTCTTTTCTTTTCTCCCTCCTGTCAGTGATTCAGACCAGATAACACTGGGAATTGTTTCAAATGTCCTCAAAATGTGAAAAAAACAGAGTGTAGCAGCCATGTGGCTGCTGGAGTCATTAACATCGAGTTCATCAGATTTTTCCACTTCTTTGTTGCAATGATGTGGGCTCTTCACATCTGCTTCATTTCCAGCCAACTGTAATATTTTGGATCCTTGTTTGTGCTATTAATATCACTTATCTTCTTTTCTACTTTCTTAACAGCCATGAGCAAGGTTATTTAAACTATGCTTAAAAAACACAAACTCTCTTCATTTTTTATAGCTGCGTGTTACTGAGACATATTTGAAGTCTTTTACATATCCATGGACCACCATAAAAGTGTTTATTGTGTTCATAAGCTATGAAATCATCTGTTCTTGTGGTGTTTGGATGTATGAGCTGGGTGGAACAGTGTTTTGTTATGTTTGGTACAGACTTTGAGTTCTGTGGCTCATACTGTTAAAAATCTGCCCGTGAAATGGTAAATTCCTCAGAGACTGGAGCCTGCTTATCGGTGTTACAGTTCATTTAAGTCTATTTCCCTCTTGCCCAGCTTCATTTAGAACTAATCATATTTTTAATGTTTGATGAAGAAGTGTAACAAGGAAATGTTAGATTCAGATCAGCACAGTTGGGTGCATGAAGCTCCCAGACAGCACAGGCTGAGGGCTGGTCATGGGCTGCAGCACCTTTCACTTTTCATCAGGGTTTCATGCAAATGAGCTAATTAGATTTGTATCTTTGCAGCTGAAGCTGTGCCTGTGTGCTCAGCACCTCCCAGCATTTCTGAAGGCACATTCCATGATATGGATTATTAGCTTTACTTGTTTCTCTCTCCTCCCCATGGCTTTGCTCCTTCCCTACAATAACACAGTGGGGCCAGGATGTGCCAGATTTGTTCCAATCTCTGAACCTTAAAGATAGATACGGAACTCTAATATGCAAAACATGCCCAGGTGTCTTCTTACAATCTGACCTGCAGTGAAAGGAGCCATCCTTTTTGTCCTAGGAAACCCTCCTCACATGAGTGTTGGTGAAAATGGGGGACACAAGGGACATCTGTCCCCACCTGGATTCCATAGGAGAGGTGACCACGGATGATCTGCTGCTCAAATCCAAGGTACAGGGCTGTGGCTCTCAGTTCTTTCCCTTTCAGCTGTTGTGCATGGATTTGGATGTTTGCTTTTTGAAGAAAACCCTGCCTATCTCCAGAGAGAAACCCTCCTTTCCTCACTGATGTACCCACATGTCCCATAAATCACCCTTTGTGACCTCACAAATTTCTCAGGGTCATTTTATCCTGCCTGAATGTGTCACTTAGCTAAAGTGGTGCATTTGTGTATTTGAGTGGAAGTGTGGTGAAAGGGATGAAATCCTATGAGCTGAAGGTTGGCTGTTTTATAGAGGTTTCTCACTCTTTAAGGACTTGGTTACTTAGAAACCAAACAACAACCTTCTTTTATCATCAATACACAGGGAACTTGCCAGTCTTGTGGAGCTGTGGGACCAAACCTCTGGGCTTGTCTTCAGGTAAAATTGGCTTGTTTGTGTGCATGATGTAGTGGGGCTTCACTGAAATAGCATTTGTACTGAAAAAACAGTGGGGAGCAAAAAAGGGGCTCACAGTAGAACTGTACACTGATTTTTGATAGATTTCAAGGAGGAGACTCTCCAGTAACAATGAAAGGGTAACACTGTCACAATCTGACAAGATGTAACTGTTCACTCCCTGTAGGGGACTGTCCTTGCTATTCCCAGTAGGAGACAATAAATTCCCCAGTGCTGGTTGTTGGCCGGGTGTTGCCTCTGCTGGCACCTGTGGAGAGGCTGCAGGTGACACCTTGGAAGTGAGGAGGGAGGGAATCCATGGGACACTGGGGCAGGCAGGGACTGTTTATTTTTACACTGGAATGCCCAGACTTGGGCTGCTCAGGTGAGATCCCTATTGGAGCAATGGCCTTGGAACAGAGACTTTGCCTGGGTGTAAACCTGGTTCCAAGTTTTCTTTCTTAAATCACTTCTAAATTTCCATCACTTCTAAATTTCCATCTTGTTGTGGGCCCTGAATAAAAAACAGGTTAGAAAACCAGGAAAATAATTCTGAAGCTGCTGCTGCTGCTGGGACTGGAGTTACAGACTGCTTTCTAAAGAGTCCAACATGATGTGCCCATTGTGCTTTGGCTCTTTCCCCTCTCTAGATTGGCTGTCCTTATGTTGGTTGTGGGGAATCCTTTGCTGACCACAGCACACTTCATGCACAGGTGAGCTTTTCTCTGTTCCCCACATTTAAATAGAATTAAATTTTCCTTGTTCCATGCCCTGGTAGTCCTGTACTCCAGCCCAGGCCAGCTGCCAGAGGAGATCTGTTGTTTCATTTTGATTTCCAGGCCAAGAAGCACAACCTGACAGTGAACCTGACCACGTTCCGTGTGTGGTGCTATGCCTGTGAGAGGGAAGTGTTCCTGGAGCAGCGCCTGGCCCAGCCCCCCTCACCCCCCAGCAAGTTCCCTGAGCAGGTGGGTCTGGGCACAAGGGCAGGGCTGGGAGCCTGGCCAGGTTTTGTTTACTGGTGTAAAATTATCCAAGTGATTCCTGCCATGGTGCAGTGCTTGCTGTGGTGGGGATACCTTCACTGACAGTGGCTGCCTGTAGCCAGGGGAGACTAGCCCTGACTTACAGGGTGTCCCACCAAAAAGACAAATGACTTAGGGGTGAGAACTGGATGAGCTTTGTGGTCCCTTACAACCCAAATAATTTATGATGCTATAATTCTATTACTTGAATATCCATTCTGACTTTATTTTTAACATTTCCAATGGGGTATCTGCATGTGAGAAGAACCTGTCTGTCACATTTTCATTCCCAATGCATGGCCCATAGAAATTTCAGCTGTCAGACCAGAAACACAATGTACTTGTGACAGTGCTGCTCATTCCTGATGTATCTTATCACGTGTACTGGAAGCAGTAATGGCACTATTTCCACTCCCTGCTGCCTCAGAGAGAAGGCTAGACAGTGCAGCCTGTTCTTCCTTCTCCTTCTGCTTTTCTTGGAGGCTGGCTTGATTTATATATGAGATAATATCTCTCACAGCTCATCTTTCAAAGCAGGTCTGTGACTGATAGTTATTTCTCTGTCTTTAATCTAGGATTCTCCTTTGCCTGCTCACCCTCTGAAAGCTGTTCCCATTGCAGTGGCTGATGAAGGCGAATCTGAATCAGAGGATGATGATTTGAAACCAAGAGGTAACTTTGCATTGAGCTGATGAAAGAGCTGGCATGGCAGCTCTGCAGTCTGTAGGACCTGCACTGAGAGGGTTCCTGGCAGCAGAATGTGGACACTGCCTAGAGAGGGCTGGATTCCCTCTCCTGGGGGAGGAATATAGAAAGCAGCACATCTTGAAAGTGATTCATCCCTCTCTTGTTTGTGCTTTAGGCCTTACTGGAATGAAAAATCTTGGGAACTCCTGCTACATGAATGCAGCACTTCAGGCTCTCTCAAACTGGTAGGCATTAGGGCTTTCAGTGTTGTCATAAGTGACTTCACTAAATACCAAAAGTGTCACCTCTGATCTGAAACCTTCATGAGTCTTGCAAAGAGAGATTAGCCAGGCTGGAGACAGAAAAAAATAGTGATTTTTTTAGGGCAACAGAAATGTTACAGTAGGAAATTGAGGGACTAGCCAGCTTGTGCTGTGTACAAAACTCATGTTTAGATGAATGCTGGAAGTAAAATTTCATCATTTCTGTTGCAACAGAAATTATTTATCCCAGAAAAAGCCATGTCATATCTCTTTATTATCATTCCCACTGATATAATTCTAATAACCTATATCCTAAAATATTCTCTAGCCATCCTGCTGAAACCCAATTCCAATATCTTTTCTGTACTCAGAGCAGGTTCAGATCAGCCTTTTTCCTTTGATCCAAGTGAGGAGTCACATCTGCATCTGGAATCCCTTCCTCCCTTGGTTTAAAATCAGTATCTTAAAGCATGCTTTTGATAAGGCCTCCATGAAGTTTGATAAATAAATAGAAGCAGAGGACAAATTTCTGTGGCCTGAATCCTTCTCCTTTTCCTTCTCTTGTAGCCCACCTCTGACACAGTTTTTCCTGGAATGTGGTGGACTGGTCCGTACGGATAAGAAACCTGCCCTGTGCAAAAGTTACCAGAAGTTGGTGTCTGAGGTTTGGCACAAGAAACGGTGAGTGGTGACCCCTGATCTACCCTGGCCAGCTTTCAGAGGTGTGTTAGCTCTGAGATCTGGCATGGCAGAGAGGAAATGTGATCCTCAGGGACAAGGGCATTGTCTGAGGCAGTGATTTAACCCCCAGCATGGATGGGGATGTGAGGATTCCCTGGGACCCAGGAGATCCCATCTCCTGCTGCTGGTGATGAATTGATATCAGTGAAAAGAATTCATTCTTAATATTACAATTTTTAAAAGGAAAAGTTTTTTAAAATATAGTGTCACTGATGGCAATGAAGAAAAAATGATGGAGTAAGAGAATACTTGGAGCTATCTCCAAGTATTTTACATGGACTTCAGTGGCCAGCACTTAATTGCACTGCTCTTGATTAGCAGAGAAATTGATGATTTGGATGGAAAAAGTTATTCAGAGATTTTTACTGAATAGAGTGGAAAATGCAGATGACATTTTGGTTTACTATTGGTTCAAATTCTGGACCAGTTCAGAGTGCAAAATTATGTAGCTCTGTTTAAATCTGAAGATGTCTGCTCTGTGCAATAAATAAACCCCAGCAAAACAGGAATTTAAATGGCATTGCATGTTTGCCTCAAGTTCATTATTAACAAGGAATAATGGAGCAAGGTGAACTGTGTCTTTGTGAAGGAGGAGGCTGCAGGCTTTGAAGCAATATCATGTCATTCTAACATTGACTGAATTTATCTAATTTACTGGGTGATCAGCCTGCCCAGATTTTGAGACAAACATGGTGCAGGAAAATCAAACAAAGTCACTAATTGCTAAACTCTGCTCTGGAAAGAATCACTTCCCACACTCAAAGAGTGACAGAGCTGGAAGTGAAATGTGTTTTGGGGAAGGGTCTCTCTGGAAAGACAGACTGAAATTGCTGCAAGATGTTTCTGTCTCTTGGTGTGTTTGTCACCCAGCTCGTGCAGAAATCTCTGCTCAGCCTTTGCAGGTGCATAATTATCTTTTGGCCTCTTTAACTACACACCACACCCTCTGTTATGGCCTGTTAGACAAACTGGCTCCAGGCCCAATATGCAAACTGACTTTTCCTTTTTTCTTTTTCCATGTCTGAACAGCCCGAGTTATGTTGTTCCAAGCAGTCTCTCCCATGGAATCAAGCTTGTCAATCCCATGTTCCGAGGCTATGCACAGCAGGTGGGCCTGAAAAAACCCATGCCATTATCCCAAAAACAGAGAATTTCATTCTTGCAGTGGTGGTGCTGGTGTTTAGAAGGAAGAGCTTGGGAGTCATGGCCTCTCTTTGTCAATATGAGTGATCTGATAGAGCATTTAGGAGACCTGGATTCTTTTCCAGGCTTTCCTCTGGCTTGTTGGTACCAAATCAGTTCATTTCCTTGTGTCAGCTTGCTCACCTCTGAAATGATGGTGGTCAAATCCTTTATAAATAGCTTTGAGATCTGCTGCTATCTGCTCTATGGGAGTTTGGCATTATTTATTCATGTCAGAGCTGAGGAACATGGATAAATCTGCACTACAAATTCAAAGATATGAATGTTCTATATTCTTTTTCTGGGGAATTGCAGAAAAACTAAGTCTTATTTAAAGGTAGTATCCTTTTTTTTCTTTTGAAGTCTTTATCAGTGTAGCTCTTCTGTTTGTTCTTTATGACAAAATGTAAACAACACACTATGATTAGAAAATTTACTAGAGAAATGACAGTGCATCAAAACTGTGATAGTGACAAGAAATCAAAACAAAGAATAAAAATAATGATTAATGAAAGAACTTCTCTATTTGTCTTTGATGTGAAATACGTTGGATTGGAAAACTCTGATCTGAAGAGATAAATTTGAAAGGTAGGCAGGGCAGGCTAAAAGCCAAACTTCATAAAACAACTGAAAGGTCGTAATTAACTTTCTGCAGTTGTCAAAATACCAGCTTGCTTTCCAGCAGCTCCTTTGAAGCCAAGGTATCAGCTCTTTTACCATGTATTATGAATGTAGGAGCTTGCAGCTAGACTGTACAGCTTTGAGTTTCTGGTTCCTCTCCCTGTTTATGAAAGATTTTAATCTGCCCTCTCTAAGAGGTGGCTTGCCATGAGCAGAAGTCAGTGTTCCTAAGATGTGTTTGTGGGAAAGAGGCTGTCCTCCAGGCCCTGCTGTTTTCATCAGGTTTCTCCTTGCTTTTTCCCTATCACCTGTGGCAAACCCTGATAAATGTGCTCCTGATTTGCCTTTTACAGCTGCTCTCTCTTTTCAAAGTCTTTCAGCTGAAGGTATTCAGATAAAAAATTAGGCCTTTAATTATGTAGGAGTTAAAGCATTTCTGTAACAGACAGGTCCTTTGGTGCATGGCCCTGCTCAGCTGGGTCTGTGTGCTGCAGGGCAGGCTCAGCTTTGTGGGCACTCTTGGAGTCAGCTGTGCATGGACCCAGCTCCCCTTTTGCCCCGTTTCTGTCTGGGTACTGACATGGAATCCTGGTTTTCAGGACACACAGGAGTTCCTGCGCTGCCTGATGGATCAGCTCCACGAGGAGCTGAAGGAACCCATCGTGGCAGAGACGAGGGACCTGGACAGCAGCGAGCAGGAGGAGAAGCGCGAGGGCGACCGAAGCCCTTCAGAGGACGAGTTCCTGTCCTGTGACTCCAGCAGTGACAGGGGTGAGGGAGAGGGCCAGAGTCGGACCTCAGGGAGCATGGGCAGCAGCTCCCTGGCAGAGACAGAGCTGCTGATCCAGGATGAAGCAGGGAGAGGGATCTCAGAGAAAGAGAGGATGAAGGACAGGAAGTTCTCGTGTGGCCATCGGCGCAGCAACTCGGAGCAGGTGGATGAGGATGCAGATGTTGATACTACGATGATGCCAGTGGATGGCAGAGCCTCACCTGAGATGCTGCCAGCTCCCTGTCCTGCCAGCCCATGTAGGACACCAGGTATACCCCTCTTTCTGTTGGGACATTTTCAGGAAGATGTGTTACCATCCTGCACAGGCACTGTGGTGTAGTGCAGTGGCAAACACATTGTGTGATTGTTCCTTCTCTGTGTTTCAAAAGATTTTGCATCCAAGGTTTTCCTCAGTCCCTGCCTTTGTGCACAATTGCTTCTGTAAGGAAGTGTACTTGGTGAGCCAGAGAGGTGCTTAGCTAGGCTGTGAGCTGAGTAAAGGCACAGCAGTGAGAGCTGCCTCTGCCAAGCCTGCACTGTATTGATGCCTTTTAAGAAAAAAAGGTTTGGTATATGTACATCTCTTTATTTGATACACTGGCCTAGGGAAATACTAACTGTGGAAAAGGCATGGCAGAAGGTATTTGCTAATGTTGGACTGTGGACTTTGGGGAGAGAAAAGGGAGAGGCAGTGTGAGCATTTCTGTGTCTCAGGGAAAAGAAAAGAGCAGCAGTGTGGAGTCACCTCAAGCTGAACATATCCGATCTTTCAACGCTTCTTTATGTAAGAGTCTTACTCTGCCAGCTGGCACTGAAGGCAGCAATGCTGTCTGTGTGGTTTAGGGCTACAGGAGCAAGCTGCAAAATCTAATTAGTCATAAGTGTGAAAAAATGGCAGGTTGTTTTCTGGGCTTTTTTAGTATGTAATTATTAGCTGTTAGGTACAGCTCCGTATGCACTCTCTCCTGTGGCTGAGGGAGCTGTGTCTGCCAGCCTGTGCAAGCAGCAGTTAATGGACACTGCACTGTGCCTTTGAGAAAGATTCTGTGCTGGAACACAGAGCTAGGCTGACACAGATTGCAGTGGAGTTGCCTTTCATAGCTGGGGTTTTCAGCAGTGCCCTTTTCCCAAACAGAGCCTGACAATGATGCCTATGTGCGCTGCTCCTCGCGCCCCTGCAGCCCCGTCCACCATGAAATGCACTCCAAGCTGTCCAGCTCTCCTCCCCGCTCCAGTCCTGCCAGGCTTGGACCTTCCTACATACTCAAGAAAGGTAGGGCAAAGAAGGATTGCTGGGATGCAAAGGGGGGAGCATGTAGAGGAGGGAAGAGAAGAAATCCATCATGATTCTTGATTAACAGATGTAAGAAGTGCTGGACATCAGGGTGTTCTAAAATAGTATTTGGCAAAGACTACAGTAAACCTGCAGATAAAGTCAAGCTCTGAGCACAGTGATGTTCTAGTGTGGAGCCTGAAATGATCCAAGTCTGCATCTGTGTACTGTGTTTGTCATTAATAAAATGGCTCTCAAGTCCCAGGCACAGGCTCTGTCCCTTTAGGGGAGTGTGGAAATACATAAACATTTGTTTGCCAGACTTGAATTTCATGGCATGTGGGCCAGAGAGCTGTAAGATGCTGTTACTGACAGAGCTCCCTGCCTCTTGGACATCTTGGGCTCACAGGAATGGAATTAGGGCTGCAGATGTCCCTGCAGTGCTGGGAGCCTGTCAGGCTGCAGAATAGAGCCTGCCTTGTGTTGTTATCAAACTGGTCCCTTCATCCCAGAGCAAATTGCAAATCAAAATCCCTCAGTGCTGCACAGTCTGCAAACACAATGGCTTTTGCTTGTACCACTGTCCCTCCAGCTGCTGCATGAGGACATTCTTTCTTCAGCCCCTTGGCTGAGGTCAGCACAGCTGCAGATGTTCTAGCTGCATGAAAACCACTCTGTCTGCCTGCACGTGTGTGTGGGGACGGGGTTTGTTGTTAAACAAAACCTTGCATTTGGCCAGTCCCTGCTGTGGAGAGCCCTCTCCAGTGTGAGACACTTGGGGAACACGTGGTAAATGTCAGAGAGGGAAAAAAAGGGACAAAGTGCAGAGCAGAGGGGGAGAGGAAGTGAAATGCAAAGCTTGGAGCAAAGTGTCACAAGACCTCAGAAAACCAGGGGCTGTCTGTGGCAGGGCTGGGCTTCTAAACGTGTAAAAGGCTGGAAAGAGGAGTTCCAGTACAACAATTTCTGCCTCGTGAGAGCCAACTGGTGTTGGTTCACTTGGCTTCCTCTCCCTTGTACCACACACAGCAGCAGAGTCCTCCTTGTCTCTTCACACCTTGCCTCACCATGTCCCTGGGATGGGGTCTGAACATGAGGACAATGCTTGTCCCGTGTTCTTACGTGGTTGTGTGACTCTGTGGAGACTGAGAGGGCCATTCCCTGTTCTCCAGCCCAGGTGCAGGCCTCTGGGAAAAAGAAGAAGGAGCTGCGGTACCGCAGTGTGATTTCCGACATCTTCGACGGCTCCATCCTCAGCCTGGTGCAGTGCCTCACCTGTGACAGAGTGAGTGTCCTGGGCCTCCCAGTCACCAGCACGGGCTTTGGGCTTGTAGATCTCTCCCTAGGGAATGGTGCTGCTATTTGAAGCCCTGTGGGATGCAGCTAATGTGGCCATAGGTGATGGCAGGGGAGGTGTGAGAATCTGCCATGCCAAGGAGATGTGTTTCTGTGTTTGCTGATCTGTGTTATTGAGTTGACCCAGCAGTATCACATTCACATCAGGAAACTGAGTTCAGTGCTACAAAGCCCATGACAGAAGTCAGTGCTGACAGCAGGGAAGAATAATTAGCCACAGTGAGTTGCTCCTGCTGCCAGCTCAGGTTTCTAGCTTAGACTAAATCCAAGCAGTGCTAAAAGGTGATGAAGGTCAGGTGCCAGCTCCATTACACACATGAGAAACCCTGACCTGCTCCTCTTGGGTATTTCCAGGTTTCTACAACAGTGGAGACGTTCCAGGACCTGTCACTCCCAATCCCAGGGAAGGAGGACTTGGCCAAGCTGCACTCTGCCATCTACCAAAATGTGCCAGCCAAGACAGGAGCATGTGGGGACAGCTATGCCTCACAGGGCTGGATTGCTTTCATCATGGAGTACATCCGCAGGTGTGCTCCCTCTGCTGCACCTCTGTTCTCTGGGCTTTGCCCTGCAGTGCTGGGAGCAGCTGTCCCTAACCAGTGCTGTTAACACTGGGATGTCACCTGGAGCCTTTCCTTGGAGTGTGTGGCACCTCACAGGGCTTTGAGCCTTCTCATGGGGAGCAGTTGTCACTGTTCCTCTCAGTCTGTCACACACCTCGAGAGCTCTTGTGTAGCTGATCACCCCTCACTGCTGCCTCAGACTTGCCCTCCAGAGCAAATTAACTCCTGGTGTAGTTTTCCAAATCATTTCCAGTTTGAGCAGGAACATCAGCTGAGAGCAGCTGTGCTTTCCCTGCTCCTCTGGGATGTGGGATGAACTTAGGACCTACAGCTGGAAGGAAATTTATCATCCACTTGGGGTTTTGTGTGCCAAAGCATTCAGCTGTTTTATTTATAACTCTTAATCCCTTTCCTCTGCAGGTTTGTGGTGTCCTGTATCCCTAGCTGGTTTTGGGGTCCCGTGGTGACACTGGAGGATTGCCTTGCTGCCTTTTTTGCAGCAGATGAGTTGAAGGGTGAGTTTTTTCCGTGTGGTCTGACAGCATGGAGGAGCACTCCATAATAATTTCAAAGGCAGATTAAATCTCCTAGAACTCCTGCCTTGGTGTGTCATTAGAGACTGGCAGTGCCAAAAGTTTGCAGCTCAGCATCTCTGAGCAGGAGGGAACTTTTCTACCTGCTCAGGGTGAGTGTCCTCAGTGAGGAGCAGACAGAGCTGTGGGTTGGTTGAGTGCTGTGGCTCCTCAGTTTCTTCACTTTCTCATCCTTCCTGCTTAATTGGCTGCATCCCTATCTTGCCTGCACTTACTGAGAGGAGTTGTTTTGATCTTTTCTCATCCCTGGCCTGCCCAAAAGGCTCTTAATCTGCTTTCTGTGCACTGTCTGGAAAGGTAGCTGTGTCAGCCTTGTGTGCTCTGAGCAGCTGCATAATGGCTGTTCTCTCTCTACAGGGGACAACATGTACAGCTGTGAACGGTGCAAGAAGTAAGTTGGCATTATCTGTTTTGTGTTCCATGTCTGGAGTTTTATTTCTGGAGTTTCATTTCTCTGTACTGCTGTCAGATATTTTGCTGTGTCCTCTGCCTGGACAATTCTGCTGGAATTCAGGATTTGTCTTGGATTCCAAAGGGAGCAGGACCCAGCTATGCCTTTGCTCTAGAGAGTCCTCACAGCTCGTTTCTTTTCCTCCCTCAGGCTGCGGAATGGAGTAAAGTACTGCAAAGTCCTGCGCCTCCCAGAGGTGGGTAAAGGTACCTTGTTTCCTAATTCTCTTCTAGCAGCCACTGAGGAGGTCAGGAGGCCAGAGGTAGAATAAAACCAGCAGGGTTTTTGGTGCAAAAATATCAAATCTGTATTTAGATCAGAAAGACTTTCTCAGACTAAGCTGATGAGCCAGCAGGATTCATGAGACACAGGCAAAGAACTCCTGCAAGGATCAGACACACAGAGATGTGCTGTGCTCCCAGAGCTGCCATGGCAAAACTTCTCTTTGATGTCCTCTGTCCTTGGTCCTTCAGATCCTTTGCATCCACCTGAAGCGGTTCCGGCACGAGGTGATGTATTCCTTCAAGATCAACAGCCACGTCTCCTTCCCTCTGGAGGGGCTGGACCTGAGACCCTTCCTGGCCAAGGAGTGTGTGTCCCAAATCACCACCTACGACCTCCTGTCTGTCATCTGTCACCACGGCACGGCTGGCAGTGAGTCCCTGTCTGGGAGAGGAGCAGGGTGGGGGTGGGAGTGTGAGGCAGGAGGGTGCTCAGGAGTAGCCAGCACCTCCTGAGACCCCCTCCATTCTCAGCTCTGCCCTTTGGAAAGTGAACTGAGCAGCTCCTGACAGATCCCCTGCAGCTCTTTCAGCCTCCCCACAGGCTTGGCTCAAACCCTTTCCCACTGTTCAGTCTTGCTGAGAGGCTCTTCCAAAGAAGGCAAATCAGGGTGACAGTGCCAGGCTCTGCTGTTCCAGCAAAGCTTGCCTCAACAGGAATTATCCTTTTTTTTTGTCTCTCTCTCTGCTGTGTGCCAGCAGCTAATCCTGTTTGTGCTGCTGCCATTCATTATCCCAGCCTGCCTTCTGTCTGCAGTGCAGCTCCAGCAGTGCTGTGCTCTGTTGCAGGTGGGCACTACATTGCCTACTGCCAGAACGTGATCAATGGCCAGTGGTACGAGTTCGATGACCAGTACGTCACCGAGGTGCACGAGACCGTGGTGCAGAATGCAGAAGCCTACGTGCTGTTCTACAGGTGAGCTGTGCCCTCAGCCCCTTCCTGGGCACAGAGCACCTGCAAATGCATTTCCCACATGGAGTTCTCCTCTCCCTGCTCCAGGAAAAGCAGTGAGGAGGCTGTGAGAGAGCGTCAGAAGGTTGTGTCCCTGGCCAGCATGAAGGAGCACAGTTTGCTCCAGTTCTACATCTCTCGAGAGTGGCTCAATAAATTCAACACCTTTGCTGAGCCTGGGCCCATCACCAACCACACCTTTCTGTGCTCCCATGGAGGTAAGGCTGCTGGGCCTGGGAGCAGCACCTCTGATGCTTCCAAATGTAGGAAGAAGCTCCAGCTGCCATCCTGATCCGGGGAAGCTGCAGTGGGATCCTCTTTGGCAGAAACTCCAGCCTGCTCAGGGAGGGATGAGACAATTACCCATTGTGCTGCTGGTTGGAGGCCTGGGGGGATGTTTAGTGCTGGGAAACAACAGTTTTCAGTTCTCTGTGTTTAAAAACAAACCTGTAGAAAGCAGATAGGGCAGGGTTTATCTGTGTTACCCTGTCAGCAGGGCTGGCCCTCCGGGTTTGTTTGGAGAGGGGAGCTGATAGCACATCTGACTGACTCTGCTGCTGTTTCATCAGCCATGCTGGGGAGCACTCAGTGTTTGTAAATCTCTCTTCTAAACTGGAAATGAAGCACTTGATTAGAAATTAGGGCCGTGGATTGAGAAACCTCCACAGTTAATGAACTTCTGACTGTCTTTCATTAGCAAAGAATGCAGATTCTGGAATCAGAGTTCTCAGAATGGAAAATCTGCCTTCTTAACTGTGTCTGTTGTACACAGTAGTAATGAAATCCCTGATTAATTCTTCCTCTTGCCTTTCCTCCACAGGGATCCCTCCTAATAAATACCATTACATTGATGACCTGGTTGTGATTCTGCCCCAAAACGTGTGGGAATATCTCTACAACAGGTGAATATGTATTTGTAGATTAGAGTGTAGAGTATTTGTAGAGTGTCCTGATCTAAGCCAGGATGAGCTGTATCAGTGCCTGTCCCAAAAACATAACAAGAGATAAGCCAGAAGAGCAAAAGTGTGGCTGAGTAAAGGCAGCTCTGTGCCCTCAGCTGCAGATGCACCTCCCTCACCAAAAATGGTATAAAAATCCCTGTCAGTAGGATGCAGGGCTGGGAAGAGTTTCCTCTCTGCTGCAGTTCTCCATTGCCCTGCCTCTCCTGTGCCCAGGTTTGGGGGTGGCCCTGCTGTGAACCATCTGTACGTGTGCTCCATTTGCCAAGTGGAGATCGAAGCCCTGGCCAAGCGCAGGAGGATCGAAATCGACACCTTCATCAAGGTTGGCTTGGGGAGCACTGGGAGCAGGGCAGAGGGCAGGGCTGGGGAGTGCAGGCCTGGAAAATGCCTGTTCTCCAGAATGTGATCTGCAGCACAGCCAGGAGCCTGGCCTGGGGCTCCCCAGTGCAGAGGGGCAATGCTGTGCAGGCAGAGAGTGTGAGACCATCCTTGTCTTCTGCCTGCTCTGTGAGCAGAACAGGGGGTGAGGAGGGAATTCCATGGGGTTCTTCTGGAGAACTGGCCTTACACCCCCAAGATCTCAGGGGTGGCTAAGCCCTTTCTGTTTCTCTGTTGTTGCTGTCCCAGCTGAACAAGGCTTTCCAGGCAGAGGAGTCTCCAAGTGTCATCTACTGTATCAGCATGCAGTGGTTCCGGGAGTGGGAGGCCTTTGTCAAGGGCAAGGACAATGGTAAGGATCAGACACTGGGGTCTGTCAGGGGCACAGGGGGAATGGAAATGACTCCATTTGCTGGGCCTTGGCTGAGCACTGCCCCTGGCTGGGCAAGGTTCAGGCACCAGCCACTGGGGCTGCCTGCAGTTCCCCAAGGCAGGACGAAAATGACCAAGAGAAGTTAGGAAAGCATCTGAATCTGGAGGCAGCAAGGAAATCAGATGGTTTTTGACATGTTTGTTCTCCTACAGAGCCCCCTGGACCAATTGACAACACCAAGATTGCCCTCACAAAACCAGGTGGCCACGTGCAAGTCAAGCAGGGTAAGGCTGGTGCTTGCTGCCTGAGGTGCTGCTGAAAGGTAAAGGAGACTGTTCCACTGGGTCTGGCTGTGCAAAATGGAGCCACAGAGCAGGATGGTGCTGCAGAGGATGACAACTCTACCCTGCCCCTGCCCTGAGTGAGCCAGTTCAGCAGTGGCAGCTCCTGCATGCCCAGATTGCTGTGACTGGTTCTGCAGACCCCCAGCTCCTGCCTTGCTGCTCCCCAGGCCCCTTCCACCACTCCCCTTTGTGCTGGAGCTTTGATCTTGTGTTGCCTTTGATGTGGTCTTCACTCAGCATCTGCTGTGGCCCAGCTCCCAAAGTTAAAACAGCCTCAGGTTGTGCCTGGCAAGGTTTAGATTGAATATTAGGAACAATTTCTATATGGGAAGGGCTGGGTTTGGAAGAGGGATGTAAAGGATGTGTAGATGTGGTGCTTGTGGCCATGGATTAATGGAGAACAGCCCGGTGCTTGCAGCAGGAGGGGGCACTGCAGGGGCTGTGTGCAGGGACCCCCGGTGTCTCCTCCTGCTCCTGGGCTGGCCCTTTGGGGGGAGCTGTTTATGGGGAAATCCTGGCGTGCTGGGGCCCTGCCGTTTCCCTGCTGTGCACCCGGTGATTGCTGCTTCCCTCGCAGGTGCTGACTACGGGCAGATCTCCGAGGAGACCTGGCTTTATTTAAGCACCCTGTACGGGGGCGGGCCCGAGATCGCCATCAGACAGAACGTGGCCCAGGTGCAGGAGCTGGAGAACCTGCACGGGGAGCAGAAGATTGAGGCAGAGACTCGAGCAGTGTGATGCGTGCAGAGGGGGCAGGGCAGGGCCGGCACAGGTACCGCTGTGGGGGATGGAGGCTGGGAGTCCTGCGGGGTCCAAATCCCCCCTGGGCTGGGACTCGAGGTGTGTGCAGCTCCCCCAGCACTCCCGGGGCAGGCGGGCTTCCTCCTCCTCCTCCTCCTCCTCCTCCTCTGGTGTGGCTCTGAGCACGGGGTGGTGCTGGGAGAGGCTGGCACAGAGCTGCCCCTCCCCTCTGGTGCAGCCACGGCCACAGGCTTGTCCTGAGCTGAGCCCTCTCCCTTCCTTTGCTTACACCAAACCAGCACTCCCAGCTTGGCCCCAGTGCACTGAGCTCTGCTCCTTTGCAGGTTTTGCTTTTGGCACTTCTCTTTTTAATTCAAACATGTAAAGATAATGAGACATTATTTATGTTTCCAGCAGAGAAACCTGGTTTGAGTCTGAGTAAAGCCACAGGTTCTCCTGTGCTTTTGTGCTGGTGGTGCTGTCACAACTTCCTAGTTTTGCTCTTTATTGAATTCTTGCAAATTCAGTTGCAGTCAACTAAGACATTTGAAAAGAAGCTCTTCCCTTCTCCTTTCACTCACAAACCCACACCTTCATGGTCCTGCAGATTTTTATTTTCTCCTTGTGTCTGCTCTCCGATGTTCAGCACGTTTTTGGACAAGGCTGGAAGGCTCCTCCTTCCCAAAGCCTCCTCAGGCTGACCCTGCCCTGAGCCTGTGTCTGACTCCCTGAGGGGGTGAAGCTGAGGAGGGGCCCCTTTGTTCACTCAGAGGGGGCACCTGGGGCTGGGGAGGGGCCCAGGCTGGTGAAGCAGCTTTTTAGGAACGAGCTCTTTGTGCAAACGAGCCCCACCTGTGTGCTGAGCTCATTCCAGATGTCCTTTGTGTGCACAGTGGCTCACTGAATCCAAATGCTCCCAGATCTGCTGCCACCAATGCAGCAGAGACAGAAATGAGGGCAAAAAAGGCCAAATTCACTTTTCTCAGCAGGGCCATTCTTAACATTCTTTTTGTTCATCTTGCAGCAAGGCAGGAGTTGAATCTTTGCAAGGCTTTGAGAGCAGTTTAATGGAGCAGAGCTGGGCCTGAGCCAAACTCTGTTCATGGTGTGGGTGATGCCACAGCACCAAGTCTGACCTGCATGGAGCTGGGACCTCCTGAGCTCCTCACAAAAAATGGGAGGGAAAGGCTGCTCCTTGACTTAGAGATAGAAGGGGGTAGGACAGGAGAATTTGAGAAGAAAAATGTGGCCTTCATGGTTCTTTTTTCTTTTTTTTTTGTTTTGTTTTAGATAAAGCATTTGTTGCATAAAGCAACTTCTTTAAAAACTGTCTATAATTGATTCAGCATGTTAATTTTACAGTTCTGTTCATGGGATGATTGTTTAGACCCAGCCAGACCCCAGGGGAGGTCAGAGAATGAGCCACTGTTGAGATTCTCATTGTTCCAAGCTGTCTTTATTCCCCAGTGCAGCAGCCCTGCTGTGCTGCAGAGCCTGCAGGGCTGCATGCCTGTGTTGTCTGTGTTCAGAGGGTGCTGTACAGACTGTAATGACACTCCTGTGCTTCAGTGTTAGACCTTGTGCTCAAAGTGGTACAATAAATTCATGTGCATCCAACAAGGCCTGCCTTGCCTGGTGAGAGGGGCTGACAGCTCAGGGAGCAGGGTGGGGAAGGAAGAAAAATAAAAAAAAATCAAATGTAAAATAAAGTCTAAAGTTCCTGCTGAGCAGAGGCTGTGTGGGGACAGATCCTGCAGCAAGATGAGCCTGAGGCCACTAAACCATCCTGTGCCCACTGAGACCTCCCTTCACCTTCCATTAACCCCATTGCACCTGAGAGTGCCTCAGAAAGCCTGGATGTGCAGCTCATGGACAATATTATTATCCTGGAACTTGCAAGGGAAGGAGTTGCAGTTTCATTGAGCTGTTCCAGGAGTCTACAAGAGTTTCCTGTCACTGTTTTGTGGCCAAATATCCCTGCAGGTCCATTCCCCTCCCTTGGTAACACAGTCAGCAGCCTGTTCCCAGGGAACACCAGGCTCTGGCACTGGGAATTTACAGTTCCTGAAGCAGCCCCAGGGGCTGGAGCAGCAGGAATTCCCTGCCCAAGTGAGTGAGGCAGCCTCAGCTGGAGCTGGGTAATAACAACATGCAGTTTGTTCTTGAGCAGCTTGGAGTCAGCTGTCCAAACTTGGATCTTCCAAACAAATCTCTCACCTGAGCAACTGAACAGCTCCAAACATTCCCAGAGACACCAAGAGCTGCCCTCAGGGTGCACAAACAGCTCCAGGCAGCTCTGGCAAAGCCCTGACTGCTCTTGGTTACCTGGTCAAGGACTGGAGGGTTTGTTCTGCATCCTGATTTCACCTGAGCTCCAACTGCAGCCTGGCTTTGCTCCAGCTCCACTGTGGCACTTCTGAGCACACCTCACACAGCTCTGGGAGCCAGTGCCAATGCTGGTCTCTTATCAGTTCTCTTTGCAAATAATTTCCCCCTTTTTTATCAGGTTCCTTTGCTAATTGCAAAAAAGAGGAGCAGAAAGAACTGTTCACGCAGTGGGGGCTGATGGAGCAAACCTCAGTGTCAGATTATCCCTGCCCTCAGCTCAGTTCCTGTTTCCTGGGAGCAGAGCCATTGCTCTGCTGTAACTGTGACACAAACACTCCACACAAAAACCTTATTTCATTTTTTTTCTCCCTTTTTGCTCAGCTCTACACCCCCAGCTGTCCCCCACCCCTTTGGTTGTGCCTTTTCTATTTTAAGTCAGCAGTGCTGATTCTGTGAAAGATAAATCCAAGTGAGAGCCAGAGGAACACCCCCTCCTATTCATTATTGCCCAAAAGCAAAGACCAGCAGCCTGTCACAAGCAGCCCTGATCTGTCCTGAGCTGACAGGGATGTAATTAGTGCTGGCAAAGAACAACTGAAATCCTGCTGAAGAAATGTAGCAGCTTGACTGAATTAAACAAAAATCATCTCTAGATTATTTGTCAGGTGAAAGGACCACCAGGTGTCACCTACTGAGTGGGAAAACTGCAAATCTTGGTTCTTGGATGGGCTCTTTGCAGTGACCTGGAGCAAGGGGTGATGGAGAAGCTGGCCAAGAGCTGGGGGCTTTTCTCTCAGCTAGAGACACACACACACATTATTCACACCAGAATGGAATTGTCCATCTCAGCCAGAGTCCCAGAAATGTGCCTGGTTTTGGATTATCTGGTGAAGGGAGGCATTGCTGTGTTGCACACACTGCACATCCACACATCCCTGCCCAAACCATTCCCTACCAGGCTTGCAGCAGCCTGAGTTTTAAAATAAAACCAATCAGCATCAAAAACATCTGCCAAGGCTTCCAGCTAAACCAGAGCATTCACCACAGGCATTCCAGGGTACAACTTTCTCTTTAGATCAAATCTTTCCCCCAGGTTTCCAGTTCTCATAGGCTCCTACTGAAGAAGCACAAAGCACCTGCCCTTCCCACACCAGCTCCAGCCACAACAGCCCATTCTCCTTTCTCCTCACATGACTGAGTTAAAAAACCAACAAACAACCCAACCACTTCCTTCTCTCTTCAATGCCAGCTGGAAAGGTCAAAGTTTGATAAAATCAAATCTTAAAGTGACCTGATGGGACCCAGCTCTGTGGGACAGACTACAGAAGAGCCAAATTATTACTCCTGAAAATTCCAGCAGGAAATAATATAAAATAAAAAACAAAACCAAAGCCAACAAGTGAAAATGGGTCCTCACTTTTCTGAAGAGAGACAACACCACACCAGCACCACACTGGAATGTGTTGATCCACTTGTTCCATGAACATTTCACAGCTGGAAGCAAAACCCAAATCCACCCCACAGCCAGGAAGAATAATGAGGAGTAAGAGAGCAGCCCTGGGGAGTTTTAGCCTGAATTTCTCTGTGGCTGAAGCAGCAGCCACAGGCAAATTCAAATTCCCACTCCCCACTGGACACATGAGGGAAGCAGCAGCTCCTGGAGAGCAATGGCTGCACCTCAGCAGCCCCAAGAGCTACAGCAGAGAGGCACCAACCTTTCTGTTGGGAAAAAAATGCAACAAATCCATTTTTCTTCCTGTCTGGCTGATCAAAAGGGTCCAGTGAAACTGTATTTCTGGAATTAAATGTTTATTTAAATATGCAGATGACTTTGTTTCATTGCTACAAGGTCAATATTCGCTTTCAAATGGAAGCACTTTATTTGATTGAATTCTGTCTCCAGAAATGAATGGGCAACACCAGAACCTTTTACATTGGCAATGAAATCACAACACTGAGATGCCACCAAGATCTTGAGATCAGTGCTCAAACACACATACACACACATATACAAATAAAAAAGTGCTCGACATCATCATGTTAAAATAGAATTTGGCTTCTTTTAGGTCTTCTGTCATTTCAGGCAGGAAAACAAAAAACCAAAGAACAATATGCATCAAACTAAATGAACTTCTGAAAAATACTCAGCATTAAACACAACTTTGAGTATCAGTAAATATGTTTCTTCTCTATTTACAGGTGTTAAGAAAGGGCATTAGAGACTTTTGCTGGGGATCATGAAATTTCATAAGATGTACAGTCCACGCTGCTGGGCAAGATTAGTAAATCCAAGCAGAGTTTTTATAAACCAGTCACATATTTAGTTCTTCAGCGTTTGCCAAAGGTAAATTCTACAAAAATTATTCATTACCCTGAATAACAGCAGCAGAATAAACATGTGCAGACTATGAGATATGACTGTGACTATTTCTTAAATAAGTTTTAAGATCCAGGCTTTTGGGAACTACTTGCCAAGTTTATAAAAACTCCATACATGGTCTTTTAATAAAACTTCAGGAATCAATCAGTCAGCTAAAGCTAATGCTCCTTCTACAGCACAATTTCGAAACACAGACATTGCAATTGTTCCAATGTTCCACAGAGGCTGACAATAATATACTGTCCACCCAGATTAAATATAGAAAAGCAAACTTTGATCTAATTTTTACATAGATGGCACAACAATAGGTGAAAGTGAATTCTTAGCTGCTGATTCAACAGTGCATTGGACACGAGAATAAAAATACTGCAGCTAAAAATATTTTAAGGATATTTTTGCACACCTGTTAATTGTTCAACCCTTCAGATCCCCTGGCAGGTGGAGACCACAAAGCCACAGGTGCCAGCCAGGGAATCCCATCCTGCTCTTGATCTGAAAGCTCAGTGAGCACAGCAGCAGCAGTGATTTATGGGTTGTGACCCTGCAGTGCTGCAGAACAGCCCCAGCCTTGGTGCTGCCTCTGCTCAGCACATTTGGGTTGGGTTTAAATCACAAACCTTCTGCTGGTTCATGCTGACAACTCTTAAGCACCATCACACAACAGCTACAGGATGTACTGTAGCACCAAGGGACTTGGTAAAAACAAAAGTTGGCATCTTAAATGGAGAGAAAGGGACAGAACTATGAACACCACACATAACCCAGCTCAAAAATCCCTTCATCCCCAACACAGAGACTGGGAGATTCTGGGCTGTGTTTTGATGTGCTGACCCTGCAGGACAGCCCAGCAGGCAGCAGAACAACACTCACCTGCCTGCAAACAAACCCTGAGAGGTTTCATTTTGGGGTCACTGCCCATAGTGGCTTCCCTGTCACATTTCTCTACTTGTGGGGATTGTACAGAATAAGCTGGAGTTGGACTGCAGCCAGAAGATTCCCCCAAATAAAATGTGGATCCAAGAATTAATTTGGCCCTCAGGAGCTATTTAGTGGCAACTGATTCTTGCAGGGCTCAAACATGTCCATGACTGCAAAACTCAAGCAATGGTAACAATTCCGGGGAAATCAAGTTAGAATATGGAAGTTTGTGGAAGTTTAGAGAGGGAATTAACCCTTTGTTAGGCAGCTGAAGTCCAGATCATGTGATTTTGGAGATATTGCAGCTCTCTTACCACTGTATGACATGATAAAGTGCAGAATCACTTATCCTACTTCTGCTCCAAACCAAACCATGTGAGAAGAGGGTGGTCACAATTCCTGTCTGGCTGCTGGGTCCAGGTCCAGTCCATGACAAGATGGGAGAAGGAAACAGTGCAGTTTCTTTTTTTTTTTTTTTCTTTCCTCTTTTATTTATCTAAAAAAACTCTATTATTCCAACATGAACTGATGAGAACGCACAGGAGGTCATGCAAAAAAAGAGAAGGCAGGTCTGAAATGCTGAAAAACAAACCAACCAAAAGAAAACTGCAGAGAGATTAAACCACGAGCCACAAAATAACGTGACCCTGAGGAAGGTGGGCGCAGGCAAGGCAACAGGGCGAGCATGCAGGCTGAAACCAGAGCCAAACTGGGCTGTGAGCAGCAGCAGCAAGGGCTGCCAACCAAAATGCCACTGTCTGTGTCTGTGTGTGTCTGTGTGTGTGTGAGGAACAGCAGGGACACAGGAGGGGGCAGACAGAACAAGCAGGAAAACAAGTACATACGTGAGCTTGAAGGGTTTCAGGAAACAGCAGGGTCAGAGGGGTTTAATACCTGGAATGAGCATCAGCCTGGATTTGGAAAAAGAGAAATAAAGGCTGACAAGTATTAGTGACCTTCTGGGGAAGGCAGAATGTTGAATGATGCATTGTGG